AACTGTCATCTGTTTTTAGCACAGGCCTTTTATCCTCCTCTCTTAATTTAATTTTTAGAATATTGGTAGTTCTATTAATGAGTGAAACGCTGTCATCTCTTACAGAACTTCCTGTCTGCTTGGGACCTTAGTACTTGATGTAGCTAAGATGTTTCTCATAAAGTTTTTTTATGGACTATTTACACATCCATTCAATTTTTATTCTTTTTTATGACCTTTATGTCTATTGCAATCTAATTAATGAATATTAATGTAATCTAATAGTTTCCATTCTCATTTGTACTAGATTTCTTCGTGACCATTTGTTTATTTAACTGAGGATTTCCTAAAGACATTTATTTTCTTTTTGAATGAAATAATGAATGCAAGTAGTAAACTAAGCACATACATGAGGAATGTGGTTTTGATTCAGCTTATCTATTTATTATAAAAAAACAAAAATATTAGAAAAAGCAATGGTATGGCCATAAGTTGGGGATAAAATAGGAACTTGTACTAGTTTTAATATTTTACTGTGACTCCAGAAGTTACCATTTTTTTAAAGATTTATTTATTTATTTGAAAGTCAGAGTTACACAGAGAAGAGAAACAGAAGTTTTCCATCTGCTGATTCACTCCCTAAATGGTCGCAATAGCTGGAGCTGCACTGATCCAAACCCAGGAGTCAGGTGCTTCCTCTGGGTCTTCCATGCAGGTGCAGGGGCCTAAGGACTTGGGCCATCCTCTACTGCTTTCCCAGACCATAGCACAGAGCTGGATCAGAAGTGGAGCAGCTGGGTCTCAAACTGGTACCCATATGGGAAGCCGGCACTGCAGGTGGCGGCTTTACCTGCTACACCACAGTGCTGGCCTCCAGAGGTTGTCTTTGATATTCCTTTCCTATCATTTCCAAATTGATTTTATTTTTATAGAAAATAAAGGTGCAACAGGTAATAACTAAGTGCTGGAAAGCTTTACAAGAACACAGTTCTAAAAGATGCATCTCCCTATAGAGGTAGAGCGCTGATTGCTGGTATTCCCTAGTGACAGTCTCCCAACAGGCATAGTCCCCAAGAGTCCAAACAAACATAAGGGGTCGATATCTCCATGGAGCTGGATTGTGTTCAAAACTATTCAGAAATTTTTTTTCTGATCTCTGAAGAACTCTTTTGTGATACCTCATATTTGTAGGCAAAGTAGAGAAGAAAAACTCACTGAGAAGTAAGATGTCTTCAATGAAAAAGAAATTGATTCAAACTTTTTGGAAAATAATATTTGTGGTGATTTTAGGGACATAATTTTCTCTTTGATTTCAAAGAAGACACCAGAAACAATTTTCATCTGTACTCAGGAAATTAAGACTGAGTCTATGTCATTTTTCTTCCAACTTCCAGAGGTCCTGTGTTCACCCCTAATACTGTAACCTTTTCTTCCTTTATCTTCACTCCATATGTCAGATGGACAAGAAGCATGTGGAAACTCATATTTTTAAAATGAAGTATATTGGAAGTTGCTAATTTATTCTTCAATAAACATTTTATTGAGCACATATTATGTAAAAAGACATTTAGAGTTTCCTAGGACTTGTAATACTGTAATAAACTAGACAGGTGAATCTCTGATCACAAAAAAAGCAGGAGAGGTAGGGTGGTTTTATTTTACTCCTTGAAACCTAATACATAAAATGTGGTAAAAATCATTAAATATATATATATATAAATAAACATGATTTAGAGAATCAATCTCTCTCTCTCTCACTCTCTCCCCCCCCCCTTTTCTTTTTGGAAGTTGTAACAGTACTGTCTACTGCCCTTAGGTCCTCACAATTGTTCCTTTAGCTTTTGAGTAGTAGTTCATTATGCCCATGATTGGGATACTTGAAAGACAGATTTGGAACAAGTTCCTCCAGCAGTGTCCAGCCCTCTATGCCTTTGGTGTGAGGGCTTTTTGGCTTTATATTTTCATCGTTTTCTAATGTATACTGGCTGTTCCAAATCTGTCTTTCAAGTATCCCAATCATGGGCATAGTGACTATACTGGCTGTTAAGTTTACATTCTTATTCATTCATTTAAAAAATTCAGTAAATATTAAGTATCTCCTAAAGCTAGGCTCTCTGCAAGATTCTGGGACAACAACAGTGAGGACACAGTGTTATCCTTTGATGCCTGCTGGGGAACCCACAGGCTAGAAAAGAGAAGGAAGAGATTCAAAACAATGAAGAAGATCTTGAAGGCAGAGGCTGCCTTTCGATTTTCTTTACTGCTATATTCCTAGTGCATCAAAGGGTATTGGGTAGCTAAGGAATTACTGTATAGTACATGTTTATTGAATGAAAGAAAAAAGATACGACTCCATTAGCACACACTTAAAGAAAATAAAGAGCAAGAGGAGGAAGAGGAAGCAAAGGAGGGATAAGACAGGGAGAAACGGAGGAGGAAGAGAAAGAGAGAAGAGAGAAAAGAAGTTGGAGGAGAGTGAGAAAACAACTTGATCCAGGGGTTCCTCCTTCCTGTGGGTTACAAAATGTTTCCTGAAGCAACTGACACCTGAGCTGAGGTGTGAGTGTCAGTAGTGTACTGTGGAGGTAGAGAAGTCTGTTCTAAGCAGTGGGAAAAGCACATTTAAAGGCCCTGTTGCTGAAAGGGGCCTCCATGTTAATGGAGCTGATGTGGTTGGAATGAAAGGAGGTGGAGAGAGAAGAGACTCAGTGAGGTCATGGAGCTGGACAGGGGCCAGGTCAGCTCTTAAGGGTTGTACACAGACATTTTATTCATATCCTAAAAGCAATGCGAATAAAATTCCATTTCTTTCAGAAATACAGCAATTTGGTTGCCAGATACTGGCTTATAATGTGTTGCTTTTTTTGCTTATTAATTCATTCACATTTACCAAAAAATATGAACAAACTTTATATAAAACTTTCAGTTTATCTAAAATTACTTTGTCAAATTCTTGAAAATTGAGATTGTAATAAGAGGAACACATGAAAGATAGTAAATTGAAATGATTTTGTGGCTAATTTGCCTTTCTGACTACTTTCAACAGAAAATCATAAATTCCTCTTTTGCACACATTTATTTGTAAATTACCATATGTATTACAAATGGAGGGAGTTATTTGCAATGATGGGTATATATTTTTTCAGTGATACCAATTTTGCAAAAGAACTGTTTTTTCAGATCTCTTTATTTTGCTTCACCATCATCCCATGATTCTGATGCAAACTTGGTCAACTATAGTTGTGACTGCTGCATTCCCAGTACAGTTCCCAACTCTGCTGTGACACAGTGTGCTACAACACCCACTGCACCCAAGACTGTCCCTGGCACCTGTCTCAGCCACTCCATCTCTTCCACGTAGACCGTCCCCTAGTGAATGGAACCGCTTCTCTGAGTACCCTTCTGCAGTCTCCGGTGGCTGCGAGTCTCCCTCACATCGCTGTTAAGGTTGTGCATCCCTCTTTCTCTCTCTTACCCTCCCTGTTAATCTGTAGGCTTCTGGACAACAGAGATGTTCAAACCTCTATCTTTTCACTTAGTTCTGTGACCTGAGGCAAATTTTAAAACCTTTCACCCACTTTCATTATCTGTAAAATAACAACAATCAGAAACGCTTGTGTGGAACAGCTCTATGGTAGCCATCGTATCGGTTCCTCACAGCATCCCTATGAGGTGGGTACTGATTGTCATTTCCATTTTAGAGCCAGGCAAAATGGATGTCCTCAGTGTAGCTTAATCTGCTCAGGTTTGTGTAGCAACTATCAAGTAGATGTCAGAAAGGTGACTGGCGGGGCTGGCGCTGTGGGGTGAAGCCGCCGCCTACAGTTCCTGCATCCCATGTGGGCACCAGTTCGAATCCTGACTGCTCCACTTCTGATCCAGCTCTCTGCTATGGCCTGGGAAAGCAGTGGAAGATGGCCCAAGTCCTTGGGTACCTGCACATGCGTGGGAGAACTGGGAGAAGCTTCTGGCTCCTTGCTTTGGATTGGCTCAGCTCTGGCTGTTGTGGCCAATTGGGGAGTGAACCAGCAGATGGAAGACCTCTCTTTCTCTCTCTCTCTGCTTCTCCTTCTCTCTGTGTGTAACTCTGAATTTCAAATAAATAAATAAATTAAAAAAAAAAAAAAAGGTTACTGGCACGAGGCCTGGGCCCCTAACTGCTCTCCTGTGATCCTAAAAGTCCCTCCTTTTACCAGATGTGAGATGATTTTTGTAAAAAGCTGTACACAGAACCAGGCATCTGATCAACTCTGATGACTATTATTCATATTTTATGTTTCTCCTCTGTTTAGAAAAAAAAAGAACAGAAAATTTGCAAAAATTTTTTTTTCTGATTTGTCATCTGTTGTTTTAAACATTAATATAATTGAATGGAAAACTATATCCAGAAATGCTGAATTATGCTTTGTGTTTCTGCGCAGCTTTATACTATTTCTGTGACTGCAAACTACATTCTGTGTAAGTCTCAGTTTCCTTTTGAATGGATTACAAGTGGAACTGACTTTGCCAATTATCTACTCAATTGACCTGGTACAAAGAAGGTTAAAGTTCCCACCTAATATATGATCATTAAAGCTTTTCATGTAGCTTCTCAGACAAGGCAGTCTGGGAAAACCCTGAGACAACATTATTTTTGGTGCCAGACTGATAAAGCGTTTAGCATCTGTCAGTTACAGGAGGAAGAGACAGGGTGATGTATTAATCCGATGTAATACTTCTCTTCGAACAAAATGGGAAGAGTTAGTTTTTCCTTAAAAAATAGTAAAAGAAAAATGTCAGCTAATAAAAAGGCAAATGTAAGTTCAGATAGTGTAAAGAGCCCACTAACTAATACCAGAGTTTTGAAATACTTATTAGATATAAATATTTGGCAAACATGCCCTGAACAATATTTTGCATCATCACTTTGTTAATTTTATGAGTGATAATTCCACCAATGGTGATTTCCAATGCCTGGTGCCAGTTAAAATAAATTAAGAAGAGACATTTTTTGAAAAAAAAAAAATAAAAACATAACTTACCAAGAAAATCAACTTCTTAGCTGCCACACGCCTCTTCAGCTTTGTAAACTTTTTTTTTCTTTTGCCAATTTCCGAAATGTTGCAAAAACAAACAGTGAGTAAATCCAATAATTGTCCTCCAAGATTTTGGTCTTAGTTGAAATCAATCATGTAGGCCATTTATCTACTCTTTCCCCTTCCCTCCCCCAACAGCAGACCGGTGTGGACTGGTTACTTGACGGGCGGTCATCCACATGTGTTTCAGTTTGGAGATCCTTAACCATAATTGATGAAGGATTGTTTTTCTTTTCTTTAAGAACAGATAAACAGCATACTTTAAGAACCATACTCTAAACCATACTTTAGAGAGCCACAAAAATTTATGTGAAAAGGAGCCCAAATTCCATCTTTTAAATATTTTGCAAATTTTCAGAACATTTAGTTCTATGCAGCAGTATTCAGAAAGAAAAAAAAATCAGTATTTCACTGTGCAGATTGCCTGTTACTATAATATAGTAATGTGCCGATCTATTTTTTATCAGATTTAGAGAACTAGCCACTTATTCTGAACTTATAAGACTAAACCTTTCAGGAAATTTTACATTTTGTTAACTTTCACTGTGGTATAAAACAAACTAGATTTGATTTCTTTATTTCCTTTTATGGAAACACAAAAAGAAACTGGCTCTTTTTTAATTTGTGTGTCTGGTTTTTGCTACAGAGTATCTAATTTTAATATATATCAGTGGCAGAAATTTAATTCCAACAACCCGAAGTAGCTATTAATCCTCTCACTGTCTGTCTCTACCCCACCCTTTCCCTCTTGATCTTTCTGTCCCAGTCAGAGGAGAATCTGAGGCTAAGACTGGTTAGAAAAGCTTTTAGAATTACATGGCTACAACATTTAGGATAATAGGGCAGGATAACCCTAAATTTTCTACCTTTGATTAGTGCTCTGTTTTAATTATAAGATAATTAAATATTTATTTAATTATATATAATTTTAACTCATGAGTAAAATGCAAATCATGTCGTTTTCTTAGTGCTTTAAAGGGTCTTTGTCAGTTACGAAAAGTAGAGACATGCTCATAATTAATTAGATATAATATTTCATTATATCCCAGGATATGTAATTTTTTCCCCTTCAATTTGAAGGGAAGAAGTCCCTTTCTGACCTTTGCAATAGGACTTGGAAATGAGGGGCAAATGCCTTGGGATGTTGTCTTCAACTTTCATTTCACTTTTCAGACCCCAGGTTGTTGCATGCCATACTGCTGTGAAATATGTCATGAAAAACACCCCCATGCTATGTACCTGTTAATGTTAACTTTGTATTCATTTGTTACTGTTATCCAGAGCAAATACTCAGAGGAACTTCCTATGTGCTAAACTCACTGTGAGTCATGAGTCCTAACTCTTGATCTCATCTGGGCTTGTCTTATCATAAAGCTGTGGGGAGCAGAGATTGTGAGGCCCCTCCTACACACGTTGAGACTCACAGGGCCTGCTTTCTTGGCTCTGCTGATGCCCCAGATAAGCACTGATGGTAAAAACTTGTGGTTATCCTGTGCTTTCTGGGAAAAACACAGTAATGTGTTCCACCCAATATCTGCTTCTAGAAGTCTGGATACTCAGCATTTAGTTATTAGTTAGTTGTTACTAGTGTGGCTCAGATACGACCTAGATATTCTATTACATTCTATTCTCATTCTGATAAGAATATTTTAATTCTAATGTTCTAATTCTCATCTCAAACGACTCAGGACTTTACTACCAGGATGCTCCATACTTACAGTTGTTTCAGTCTTGGGAACTGACACTGAGCCTCAGACTTGGAGACTGTTACCCAGAAAGGTTAAACTGTTAGTGATTTGTAGACCATGCTGAACTACATCTTTGACTTTACTGTACGTATTCACAATGTTTTTCTTTTGTGAATTGGAGGAGACATTGGAGCTTAGGATAGACTCATGCACAGGTTTTATTAGATGTCAGACAAAATGATTTTTTATTGAGGAAGGGTCAAACAAGTTGTGTTTTCTGTTGTGTCACACTATACAATATGAGGGCCACGTTATAAAAATTCAGGGCTCCCACAAGAAGCCAAGGCTAAGGAGGGTGATTTAAGACTACATTATCCTGTTTCTAATTCCTTCTCTTTCTTCCTGCGGAAATGTGATTGCAGAAGCTGGGAGAAGGAACTGGAGCGTGGGCTTCTATATCTGTCTTGAAGAGAGTCATAAAGTCTGTTTTATGAGTCTCTCTCTACCCTCATTCTACTTTTCCAAATTAAAGGAGACAATATGACAATCTCACCAAGCTCTGATCTTACATCTTAATTTGCAAACTCAGCAGCAAAATTAGTACCTGGTTTAAGTGGTTCAGAAAAAAAAAAGTTGAAAATAATGACTTGTCCATAGAAATTCAGTAAAATGTCCTCTGTACTGAAGCCAAAGGCATTTTTTAATCACAAAAATCATTATTTCTTAAAATTGATGTATCAATGTCAATTTCTTATTTTTACAAATGCACCGTGTAAGATATTAACAATGGGAGGAATTGGGCAAAAGGAATTTTGAGTCCTGTCTTCACAATGCTTCTATAAATAAAAAATTAATGGCAATAAATTGATGTTACAACTGCAGCGATGTTATTCTTGCCTGATAAAATTGTGATTTTCATAGCCTAAAGACTGGAGGAAATTTGAAGTTCATTACTTCTGCCTCAGACTTAACAGTCAGTCTCCAGTGTGTGCAGTTTTGTGCATTTCTGTGACTTGAAGAATTAAAGGCATTTTGTCTGTTAGTGTGTCATGCAAAAGGTCCACATGAACTTGTCTGAAGCATTTTTGCCAACTATTTATCTATAAGCAGGCCAAACATTTGCTTCACATGTTATGTGAAGTCCCCATCACCTGTCCCAGCTTTGTCCGAGAGCTGAGACTAAGCCTTCCCCAACAGCGTCCCTTGATTATGGCTCCACAGGACCACCCACTTCTGGGGGTGAGAGGCCAATTCTGCCTCCCTGTCAGACCCATTTCAGAACTCAGGAATAACAAGCATTTAGTCTCAACCTTCCCAAAGTGCACAGCCTTTGGTGAGAACTGTAGTTCTAACATTTGAAAGAGAATCAATATCAAACCTTGGTACTATTAAACTGAAGAAATATTATAAATTTGCAAGTTTACAAGTTTATCTCACTGAAAATCCCTGCACTGGGGAAAAAATTGTGTGAGCTTTAACTCCAGTGATTCTGTGGGTAATGAGAGACTAGGGTCATCTGGAGAGAGAAGTGATATCCTTTGATATATAAATCTGTATACAGTGGTGATGGAATCTAAAATCCATTCTTTGGCCATAGCAAAACATTACTAATGAAAGCCATAAAATACATTAACCTGCAAAAGGGAACTAAATTTATTGACATGACTTCACAAATCACAGTTATTGAGTCACAAACAAAACTTCAAATGAGGAAATCTTGTGGTAATTGGGTCCCTCTTCTTATATAACATACTTGTTGGCATGCATTATAGGTTTGCTATCTTTTAACAGTACTAAATCACTGTACAAGAACATTGCCAAAAAACTCTTCATTTCCTTTTAGTGACTTCTTACTGCCCTCAGTAGAAGTTTAATAGAAAAGGAAGGACATGATGCAGTTTTAATGACAGGAAACCCATGGCCTTCCAAATGAATAAATTCCATCACTGGCTGCCACAAAGTGTGCTAATTATTTCCTTTGATAAATTAAAAGCTGTAAAAGTCCAAAGTATATAAGCACGCGGTTTACAGTTATAATCAACCTGTCTGCATTACTGAACATTCATATTATCTTTGTTATTTAATAAGCATTACATTTCTTATTCCAGAAAATTGTGTAACAAATATGTAGTTTTACTGATTTGATAGGTAGTTAAATAAGTAATCAACCTTCGTGTTTCTGACTTTTGGAATGCCAAAATCAAATATTAATCTATTCTGCTAATGAAAAATCCTGAGGTTGAAGAAAATTTGTACCTCTGTGAGATAAAAGAAACAGAATCAGGAGCCAATCAAGTTCAAAAAGTGTAGAGGAATTAAAATATTATACTTTACTATTAATTTTTTATTCTTAATGTCACCTACATAATTTTGGAGAATTAGAGCAATATAATTGTTCAACTAAATTTATTATGTTCCTTATACATACTATAGGGATTTATTAATTTTGTAAATATTTATTTAACACATTACACATGTTCTTCAGATATTATTGCAGCAAAATAGACTTCATCCTTGTCTTCATAGAGCTTGCAATGTAGTGGGGGAACCATCAATCTACCAGTTATACAATTATTAACCAAGAAATGTGATAGCAAGGTTTACATTTTGATGAAAACTTTGTGATCATAGATGAAATGTCCTAATCATAGGGGTTATACTTCCTTGGTGAAAGGGGGCTTGATCTGAATTATAAACAGTGAGCTAAAGAGGACAGGGAGCATTCCAGGCTGAGGTATGTCCCACGTCAAAGGCTTTGTGGTGGAACGGACAGGTCCATGCGGCGTCAGGGCAGAGAATGAAGGAAGTCAGAGTTTATCCTGCCTGCATAGCGCCTTTGCACATATTTAAAAAAAATTTAAAATTTATTTATTAATTTGAATGTCAGAGTTACACACAGAAAGGAGAGGCAGAGAGAGAGAGAGAGAAAGGTCTTCCATCCATTGATTCACTCCCCAATTGGCTGCAACAGCCAGAGCTGTGCTGATCTGAAGCCAGGAGCCAAGAGCTTCTTCCGGGTCTCCCATGCAGGTACAGGGGCTTAAGGACCTGGGCCATCTTCTACTGCTTTCCCAGGCCATAGCAGAGAGCTGGATCAGAAGTGGAACAGCCAGGACTCCAACCTGCGCCCATGTGGGATGCTGGTACTGCAGAGGGCAGCTTTACTTGCTATGCTACAGCGCCAGCCCCACCTTTGCACATCTTAATGTGGTTGCAGACCACATTAAGGACACGTGGACTATTGAGGGGAGTGTGAGCTGCATTTCACTCTATCACCTTCTTAGTTGGGTGCCCAGCAGGAGCACATGACCTGCACAACACATGCTCACCCTAAGGAAAGTGGAGGGAGGTAACACAACGGTAGACTCCTGTAGAGGTTGGGTGATGCAAGACCTTGCCTCTTTGTAGCAAAGAAAAAGAATGGATTCTACTAAGTTTATTCATATTAAATGATCCAATTATTTATTTATTTGAAAGTCAGTTTTGCACAACTTCAG